GCTGGCCTTACGACAGCGACCAGGACTACAGAGAGGACTTAGAGCAGCTGGTGGGCTGGTGAAGAGATAATAGCCTCAACTGAAAACCTGAATTGGACTGTAAACACCTCCTCACTGGTCAAAAGGGTACAGAGAGCATTCTGACCAGCTGTCTCACTGTGTGGTGTGGAGGCTGCAGCGCCTTAGACTGAAAGAAGGTGAGGAGAGTAGTGAGAACAGCAGAGAGAGTTATAGGGGCTAATCCTCCCTCCATAAAATGCATTTTAGCCCAGCGCTGCATGTCCTGAGCCCATAACATCATCAATGAACTGAACTGTTGAGAAAACTTTAAATCATGTCACAGACTCTGCATCAAAGTGACAACACCAAACCAAAACACTGCAAAATTGCACAATATATATTTGATTTTCTTCCACACTGTTTACATTTGATCACTGCTACACTTTAAGAAATGGAAATGTCTTGAAAGTTGTACAAAATAAAATTTCATCTAAGTACTGTAACCGTTGTATTGATCTACTTTGCATCTATAGAAGACCTTCATGCTAGGTCAACAATAAGTACCTTAATTGTGAAGTGGAAGCAAAATTATTTATGTTTTATTTATTTATTTTTTTGCTAGTAAAAAATAGGAAAACTCTTCTTTATCAGTTGTACTTGTCCCCTTTCAGTCTGATACAATAAATAACCTGTGGGACAGATTTTCTTCATGTGAGTGAAAATATTATAAACTATGTGTATTTCTTATCAAAGTATTTAGATTTTTCCAAAGCCTTATATGTTTTATTTCTGTGCACACCATAACATACTCTATTATTTAACTTTTGGTAAACATTAAAAAACAGAGCTGGTAGAAATGCATGCACTGGAAAAAAGCTAAATCTAGATAAGTCATTATTTCTTAAAATAAGTGCATTTGTTCTTAAATTTAGAAGGTAAAAGGCATATTTTGCCAATGAAACAAGACAATTTACATTTAAAATACGAAAACACAATTACATTGTCTTATTTCAAGTGCATTTTATCTAAATATCTTATTTTAAGAGTAAAAATACTCATTCAGTTGGCAAATCATATCATTTACCTACTCAAATTAAGGGTAAATTCACTCAATTTGAGAAATTTTTACTTATTTCTAGAACGTTTTTTCAGCGTGCAGTTAATACAGAATGTAAACTGTGAATTATTGTACGGAGGCCTGCAGCAGTTAAAGAATCACAGAACCAGCAAATGTTTTACATTTTGTTAGCACAACCTCTTAAGTAGAAATACATCAACTAGTTCTCAAATTAAATTGTTGTCTCCCCATAAAAGAGAGCAAGCAGAATTGAGCAGTCTGTAATTTTGAGACATCGACAACAGCTCCTGGCAGTCCTGATATTTACTATATCAACTCAAGTCAAGTCAGCTTTTATTGTCACTTTCTTCATATGCACAAGACATACAAGGGAAATTAAATTACGTTTTCTCTCTATACCATGCCAGGACAAGACATATACAAGACGGACATTTACAGACTGACATAAAGTGCGGGACATATCAACCTTCATAAACTGGAGCTGTTTTTCCAGCACACCTCCTAGGTATTTGTAGATCCAGTCAGAAACATTAAAGGCTAAAGTGTTAGGAATCCAGTCTGTGTGGTTTGTGTTTGTCTTCCCTCCTCCTCCACCAGGCGGCGCCTGGTTCTGGTTGGCCTCCTCACACACCTGCAGTGTTAAGCTGCTGACTGCCACTACATCGACGCCAGAGTGTTTGCCAGTTTTGGGTACTCTAGCCAAGATGAGTTTTGCTGAGTCAAACTGAGTTTTTGTCTCCCTGAGTTTTAATCTTGCTGTTTTTTGTCTTTGCCTCTCGGCAGGAAGTCTTCCTCTAAACTGGATGTTTCGGACCTTCTCTCCCCTGGAAGGATTCGCTGACCACTAAACTGAACTCAGGGTTCAAGTTTGTGGTTTGGATCAACTTTTCCCCCGAAGGATCGTTTGGAGCTTCTCTCTGAGCAGGGGATTCATCTCCACAATAACCCGTTCAAGTACCGCAGGAAAACTAAGTGGCTGTCAGCTTCTCCGTTCACCAAGGATCAATCGCAATCTGGGTAAACCCTGTCCGCCCTCCAACGAGCAAGACATTCACTGATACATCCCACACCGACTGGATTCTATCAGAGATACCTTCTTCTGGAAACATGAGTCTGCTACCTAATTCCTCCTCTTCAAGTCAAAGACACTAACTTCCCACTGAGCCTGAACTAACCGCTATATCTTCCCCTTCACTTCCAGTTCCAGTTCGACAGTGTTCAGAGCAGCACTGGACTCATCCAATTTTTTCTAAATAAAACCTGTTAAACGTTTCCCTGGTCTCTCTGTTTGGTCTTCTGCGTGTGGCAGAGCTGTAGATAAAATCTTGACATAAAGTGTCTTTAATAAAACATTATTTGGCCAAATTATGCTTTATTAAATGATTTGCTTAATGAAAAACCAATAACCTTTAGTCAAATGATTATTTACCCTCTTTGAAATAGCTGGCAGTGAATAGACACCAGGATTCCACTAAATGACTCTTGGTCATACTACGTAATGGAAATGTTATGAGCATATGAGAAATTAGAGAAATAAAGCTTGTCCAAGCTTCAAAAACAGCCTAAAACATGTTACTATAGCATAGCATGCAGACCATCCTGTCAGCTTGTCTCTACTCATCATCAAAAGACATAGTTTGTTTTGTAACTAATCATGCTTACCTTTGTGTGAATGATTACCTTAACCTGACCAGTTTCTGCCTCTCCACCACTTAGCCTGCCTGTTCCCGTCTGATCTGTTTGCCTAATCTGTCTTCAGGCTCCTGCTGGATTCTATCTGTTAACCGAACATGGAACTTCTTCCTGACACCATTCTTGATTTCCCTTCGGAACCTTTTCGAACATCTGATCTCCTGATTCTTAGTCCTGAGCAAGTCCACAACATTGGGGACATTCTAGGACTGGACTGTTAAACCAGGTAAGTGGCCAACTCAGATAATCATCTTCTGTCAGATGATCGTGGTCACTTACCTGTGTTTCTCCTGCAGAGTTCTTTGATTGGGCGGTGCCCCGCTCCCCATCCTGCAGTGTCCGCGAGCCACAGCTCCGCTTTTGTTTTGTTTGTTCATTTAATAAATGTTTTGAACTTTCCTACTGACTGTCTCTCCTTGAATACTGGGTCCATCTGTCTGCGGTTCTTGACAAAAAATGTCCGTTTTTAGACTCTTTTCTTTAGAAAGTTTGCTGTATAAACATCAGCTTAAGATTTGTCATCATTAGGTGCAGAGATGGGAAGTAACGAAGTACAAATACTTCGTTACTGTACTCAAGTAGATTTTTCTGATATTTTTACTTTACTTTACTACTTATTTTTATGGCGACTTTTTACTTCTACTCCTTACATTTTTACACAAATATCTGTACTTTCTACTCCTTACATTTTAAAAATTGGCTCGTTACTTTAGTTTTGAATCATTTCAATGGAGTTACCGTTATTATTTTTCACGTCATCAATAACAAATTCAATCTAACTGGATGGGAATCTACGTTGCATTTGACGCACCACTACAAGATGAATCGACAGATTCGGCGGTATTCATTCGTGGCAAATCATTGCAGCTTGGTGGCGGTGGCGTTAGCATACAGTAGTAGTATGGACGACGAGATGATTGAAAATGAACACAACGGAGATCTAGTCCTATTGGCAGACATCCATTTAAAATGTAGGCAATGGCATGAAAAAAGTGGTTTCTACTTTTACTTTTATACTTTAAGTAAATTTACAAGCCTGTACTTTGTTACTTTTACTTGAGTAAAGAAGTTTAATCAGTACTTCCACTTTTACCACAGTATTTTTTAACACAAGTATCTGTACTTTTACTCAAGTACGGAAAGTGAGTACTTTTGCCATCTCTGATTAGGTGAAAAAAAACTTTAGCTTGCGTTACACAATACTAAACACATAAAAGGATCAGAAATCATCAAAAACTAAAGTTGTTTAGCTGAGAAAGCTTTCCTTAACTTTGCCTGAGCTGTGACCTATATTGATTTTGACCTGATTGATGTGGATCTCCATTTTGGAAAGATCAGGTTTCTCCAAAGTTAAGCAAAGCTTAGTCTAGGCTGTGCTGTGTGGGTTTGTGTTAGCAAGAGAATGAGTGTGGTTTTATCTGAGGCTTTTCTACAAAGCAGGAAATGGGGGGTTTTATACGCCACCCTGAAGTGTCTCTGTAAGTGTTGTGCATGGCGGTCGGAAGCTAAGTTTACAGAGCAAAAACAAACATTTTTCTCCACCAGCGTTAAAAGCGAATATCATGGCTTATGGCATCTGTAATTGGTAACTGTTACACTGTTAACTTTGCATGCATTAAATTAAATCTTTATTAACATAGCTTTACTTTTACTTGAGCAAACTTTTTTGCACATATTCCACTTCTGCATTGCACTAACCAACGTGAAACACTGACCTTGTCCTCTAACATGTAGTCAGATTTTAGGTAGTAACCTAAAAGCCTCTCTATTTGTCTTCCTCCACAAGATTCTGATAACAGTATGTAACAAAAAAAGACATCCAAAGGGCATAACAGTGTTTTGAGCTAAAAAAAGAAACATTTCTGCAAATCTGAATAGTTTTTATATGCAAAGTAGTATATGAGTTTGTTCAGGTTTAATTATGACAGCTGAAATGATTAATCATTGTTTGAAAAGATGCTAAGCAGTCTTGAATTTGATGTTTTCATGTTAGTTTTACATTCTGCTTTATTATATTAAGAAATATTTTCCCTCTGGGATTATTAAACTATGTCTGATTCTGATTCTGATTTTTTAAAACATTTTAGCATGATATTTGGCAAAAGGGGGCAAAGTTAGCATCAGGAGAAAACAGTTTTATATATGTGCTGTGTGCGCAGAGGGCTTGGTGGAGGATAGTTAAAATGTGCTTACATGTAGTGACAGCCTACTGGGCAAGTTCCTTTAGGAACATGAAGTTACACATTCACCAATGCATTAACCTGCAGCAGACCAAGGCTGCTGCTTTATAAGTTTGGACATTGGATTGCTTTTAGTTTGGACCAGAATTCATAGAAACAGAACCTACCAAAGACAAAGGTGAGCATTAGTTTTTTTCAAATATAATAGTTTCAACTGCTTTTTCAATCTGAAGCATTACAGCAGCAATAATTATATATGTATAAAAAAAAAAAACATATTTAGTCTTTTTCCCCCCCACTGCTATAGTGTACTCCCCCTCTCACCCTTAAGCTTGCTTCAGTCGTCATGAAGTTTAGACCACAGATATCTTGGTTCTGCTTTTGTGTAACACGACTACTCCCTGTAGCTTTGCATGCTTTTCTTTTTTTTAACCTTTTTTTTCCTGTATTTTATTTTCTCCTTGCAGCACATTGCAATCAGTATCTATAGTTTGCATATGTGATTTAGTAAGAAGGTCAAACCAAAGTGCAACCGTGCACAAACAAGAACACCGTATCAGCTCAAGGGAGAAAGACTTTGGCAGAAGTGAGATGATACAATCAAACAGAAAATATTAACAAGAGCATATTTAAAGTGAACGAAATATCTTATAACACATAACCAGTAATTAGGGATTGCAATAAATTTTGTCAATCAGATACAGAGGTTGATTTAAGATGGCTTGGATGGCTGGAAAATGGAGCAAGAATATGTTGTATTATGGGACAAATATGGGGGATGAAAATGTTTTAAAACGGTCAAATAATAGAAGATAGTTGGAAGGAAAGCTGAAAGAAAGGATTTTGTACTCATAAATTGTGTTAACCGGCACAAAATATAGGTTGGATTAGCTTTTTAATGACAAGTTTGAATATTAAGGTCAGCCAAAGGAGATGTGAGCATTCCCATTTAGGAGTACATTGCACATCTGAAGCCGGGCTTACACTCTGCGATTTTTTGCCCTTTTCGGGGCGACTTTCCAGTCGTGCCAGGATTTTCCGATCTGCCCGACTTTCAGCCTGAACATGCATTGTGTGTTGTGTAGTCTACAGGGGGTAACGACGGGCGCACATCCTCTCACGACCACCTCCCGATCAGGACTCCTGAGAAAATCAAACATGTTTTATTTTCAGTCGACCATCGTGGGCAAATTGCTCAGTGTGCAAACAAGGACTCTTCTTTTTCCTCCTCTCACATGAAAAAACAGAAGCGTGGAGGGGGGCGGGTGAGTTCTTTATGTAAAATTGACAGACCGTTGTAGCCATGTTTGCTCAGCCATGGTTTTCTCCAAATACATCGCCACTAGGGGTGTAAATAATAATTGTTTTGTATCGATGCATCGATCCAACAGCCGACGATCCGATGCATCGATACGTCCGCAAGAGAATCGATTCATGTTTTTTTTTTCCTCTGGTCTATTTTTATCCATTTGCTCCTGGGCGTAATTCTCCCTCTCGTGCTGCAGTGGCGCTAAACCTATTTTGCCCTCCTACCTCGCTTCCTGGTTATCCTCTTACAGCAGTGTGTTGCAGTGAGCTTGACACAGACATTTTTAAATTATGCTCAATATTGAAGCGTGGTCTGAGCTACACGCTGTGGGTCAAGATACGGCCGAGGCGGCGAGGAAGTGGGGCGAGTTTAGTCCGACGACGGAGGGACATGAGGGCCAAAAAGAGCGGAGATCCAGGTGGAAAAAGGGTCCCAGCGTTCTCACGCACCTCGCTCTTCTAGCGGGTCAAACTTCACGAGTTGTTTTCCGCAATTTCGGTCATAAAAACAAAACAAGCCGGCCTCCTGTCCTCACTGTCTGCGGTCAGCTACAATTTAGGAGAGGTGCAGCGGAGCGTCTCTCAAGGAGCCGAGGTATTGCATTGCACTCATTGCACTGATTTTCTGCAGTATTTTTTGATGCAACTTTTCTACTTGTGTTATTTGCTGTTGTTTCAAAAAAAAAAAAAAAATGCATAACGATATAACAGCTTTCATTTATTTATTTCAAACTTGAAACTTTGTTTAGCCTGTAAGGTGTAAAAAAAATAATAATAAAAAAAATCAATTAATCGAATCGAATCGTGGTATATTTTTGAGTATCGAAAATAATCTAATCGTTGGGTCAGGAAATCGATACGGAATCGAATCACCATGATGGATGTGATTTACACCCCTAATCGCCACCTTTTCTTTTTAGGTTTTTTTTTAGCACAAAATTGCAAAATTGCCAAGGCAGCTCGTTTCTCTGCGTCTTGCCGCATAAACAGGGTCATAACTAAAAGCCCCAAATTAATGGCCAAATATTCTCCTTTAGGATTTCCATAACAGAGCAGAATCCTTTGTTCCATTATTTAAGGCAGCCCATCCAGACTCTTATGCAATCGCACCACCGGCACCACTTTTTAAATGCCAGTACTTTATTTTGAAATGTTGAGTTGCAGGAGTTCGGCTCATAGATATTCTTAGTGATTTTCAAGAACTTCATGACTAAAGTCTTCAAATGGAAATCTAAACTTATATGCTCTTTAAACATCTAACAAAAAAAAAATTAAATGCTCAATTATAATTAGTTGCTTGGTTGAAGTATTAAATCACTTCAGTATTAATTGGTAGTCTGATGTATTATGCAGTAAATGTGCATGTTAATGTTTGTTATAACACAATGTTGGTGGTTTTACACTGAACTTATACAATTTCAAAATAAAACTAAGTTGTGTGATTAGTTTCATTTAAAGAAGATTTAGATATATTTAATAAAATTCCTGTAAATAACAAAAGTTTTAACAGATCAATTAAGATTCTTTAACCTTTAGCGTGCCACGGCCAGTAGGAGCTTTCATGTTCTTGTAATCAGGGTATTGAACAGGTTGGAATGGAATGAAAATGCTGAAATGATAATGCATTTCTTAATCAATTGACATTTTTGTAAAAGTCATGTATCATCTGCATAGAAGGTGAGTCACTGTGTGGGTGTCTTTAGAAGGAAAACTTAAACCGCCGTTAACCAATTCAAATGATAAACTAAGTGTGAATTAGTTTCCACACAGATTACAAATTATTATTCCGAAAATGAAACCTTGAATTATATTGAATGTAACTGTGTGTCATAACAATCAATGCAGTTTTAAGCAGTACATAATTCAAACACAAACTGAATTAAATTAAACATCCAGTATTAAAGCATGGTATTTTATGTTTGTTTTACAGCGATGGGTCCAGCTGTGGCGGTTCTTCTGCTTTCAGCGTCGCTACTGTCCACTAGTGATGGTGGAAAAGTTCTAGTATTCCCAGTGGATGGAAGTCACTGGCTGAACATGAAAATAATTCTGGAGGCCTTACATTCCCGGGGACATGAAATAACAGTATTTCGCTCCTCAACCAGTTGGTATGTTTCGGAATTTTCCCCCCTTTACACATCCATTACCATCGCTCAGGATCAGCCCCAAAACATCGAGAGCCAAGATGTCATGACGTCTTTTCTGGACAGGTCAATGGAGATCCGTCGACATGAAGGGACACTATGGGCTTTTTTTGAGTTTTACAGGAACTTGTTCGAGTTGTTTGGAGAAAACCAGAAGGATGTGGCAAAGATTGTCGTCAGTATCTTTGAGAATAAAACACTGCTCAGACAGCTAAATGAAACTGGGTATGATCTTTTTCTGACGGACCCTGCTTTCCCAGCAGGAGTTTTGCTGGCTCACTATCTACACCTTCCCTTGGTTTTCAATGTACGTTGGATTTTTAGTGGAGAGGGTCATTTTGCAATAGCCCCTTCTCCACTGTCCTACATTCCTGCAGTGTTTTCCCACTTCTCTGACAAAATGCACTTTTTCCAAAGAGTCCACAATTTCATATTTCACGGAATGTTAGTCTACATGCACTACTTTGTCTCTGATCCACCTTACCATGCCATCTGCGATAAATACTTTGGAAACAACGTCAACACCTTGTCTCTGATGCAAGCAGCCGATCTCTGGCTAATGCGGGTTGATTTTACCTTTGAGCTCCCTCGACCCACCATGCCCAATGTCATCTATATCGGAGGGTTCCAAGGAGAACCTTCCAAGTCTCTGCCATCAGAATTGGAGGACTTTGTGCAGAGCTCTGGTGAACATGGAGTCATTGTAATGACTCTTGGCACTCTGTTGAGTGACCTTGGCCCCGAGGTATCAGAAACCTTTGCATCAGCATTTGCCAAACTCCCTCAGAAAGTGGTGTGGAGACATGTCGGTAAACGACCAACTACTTTAGGGAATAACACCATGCTGGTTGAATGGTTACCTCAAAATGATCTCCTTGGCCATGCCAAAACAAAGATATTCATCACACACGGTGGCACAAATGGGGTCTATCAGGCCATCTATCATGGCGTACCAGTTCTAGGTATTCCGCTTATCTTTGACCAGCATGACAACATCATCCGTCTCAAGTCCCGTGGTGCTGCTGAAATAGCTGATGTGACAACAATCACCGTTGACTCCCTAACCAGTGCTTTACAGAACATTTTGGATCCAAATAAGCCGTACAAGCAGAACATGATCAAACTATCACAGCTTCATCATGACAAGCCGATGAAACCCATTGACAGTGCAGTATTTTGGATAGAGTATGTCATGAGGCATCGGGGTGCAGCACACTTGCGCTCTGAGTCCTACAAGATGCACTGGTTCGCTTATCATTGTCTAGATGTGATTGTGTTCTGTGTTGCCGTTGTGTTGCTTTTCATCTCAATGCTATGGGTTTCATTTCGAAGCTGCATTAGCATCTTTGTAGGACAGAGGAAGTCTAATTTTGCTTAGAGGAAGTGATAATGAAATCAGAGAACAGAATGATAGCTATGCAACATGTTTAAGCTTTTCTTTGAATTAATAAAAATAACCAAAATACTGTTTATTCTAAATTGATGAAAAATGGAAGAAAAACAAGCTACTTTGTTACTAATTTAACATATTCATTCAATTAACAATTAGATTCTGTGTTAAATGGCTTAGTGTTGTTATATTTAGCCTTCATAATGAAGCTTAAGTAAACATTCAGACTGAAAGACTGAACTTAGTCACTGTTTGATGCTCTATTGTCACTGTTGGTGGAATGCTCAATCATAAAATCCTCTTTTTCTTTGCTTAGGTTATATTCCTCATTTGAATAAAACTCTCAAATCGTCTTCTGTGTGAGTCTTTTATGGTTGTATTGACATTTATATTCGGACAAAGTCTTTGTCAGAAATTTTGATGACCCCTCATTCTTTCACCCTTCTTCATTGGTCTCTTGAAACATACAGATACATCTTTTATTATTGGGGGCGATTTCAACTTTGGCCTAAATGAGGAAATAGGCTTAATACAACAGGAGCTCAACGCATTTTGCGGTCAATACATACAGTAAAGTTAGACTTTGTGATGCATGTTGCTCTCTTCGCCTTTATAGCAAAGAATATACTTTTTTTCTCACATGTTCATCACCTTCAGTCTCGTTTAGATCATTTCCTAGTCAGCAGCTTTCTTTTGAATTACATCTCAGACTCCAAGATTCACCCAACTACCGTCAGTGACATTGCTCCTGTTTCTTTAAACCTGGAAATTAAGAAAGAAAATATTCAAAGTAAAGGCTGGTTGTTTAATAAATCATTGCTTACAGTTGTAGATTTTATTCAATATCTTAGAGAAACATGGGCTTCATATTAAGAATATTATGATCTCCCTGGAGCATAAGCATATTTTCACTGGGAAACTGGAAAGGCAGTAATAAGAGATTAAATAATCTCAATCTCATCACATAGGAAGAAAATAGAAAATCTAAAGATTCATGAACTAAAGGAAAAGAATTGTTGGGAGTCGCATTGGAAGAATAAGCAATAAGTAAAATGTGCGAATCAAAAATAGAACAAATATCTTTGTATGTCCTGGGTCCTTTAGGATGAGTCTGGGGCCGCCCAAACCTGCTATTAATCATATCTTCCTTCTGAAGAAGCTTTGTGAATCATAATAAAAATTTAACTTTATTACCTCACACAGGAGAAATTCACCACTGTACTTATCCCATCCCCTCTGGGGAGCAGTGATCTGCCATTGTGTAGCACCCGGGGAGCAGTGTGCGGTTAAGGGTCTTGCTCAGGGACCCAGAGTAAGGGTCTCTGGGAGTGGGGCTGTAACTCAGAACATCTGGATTCAAAGCACAATGCCCTACCCCCCCCCCCAATCTCCTCTTTCTGTCTCACCTTCCTTTCCGTCTCTGTGTCCGTTACATATGATGTTGTGCAATTTTCAATAAAGTTTACCATACAAGTATCAAGTAGAACCTTATGTCTTCCACCGTAATGGTCTGCTTGTGAAAGCCAAGCTGTTGGGCTATCATCTAGCTCTTTCCCCAAAGCTATATAAGCAAAGCAGAACACAAAAAGAAAGAAATGGAAGCAGTATCAGACCGCTGCAAATCTACAACGCCTAGGGACGCCCCTCTAAATTTTAAGCTCAAAGAGAAGACAGACCAGAGATGCAGCCAAGAGCCTTTATGGAAGACAGCCAAATAATTTTCTTTAAAACCGTATACAGTCAAACTCAAATTAGTAAAAGACAGCGAAAGTACACCAGCGGTAACAGGAAGCAATGCCTTTGCTATTTCTAACCAGATGTGATTTACTACTTCCTATGTTGGTTTGTAGGCAGATAAAAAAAAAAAAGAGTTGTAGCTGAAATTCAGGATGTGGTGCATTCTCACGTGTCACTTGTATGCTTAGTTAATGACAAAATCCTCTGAAAAGTTGTATTCTGTTCATTATATTAACAGCATTACATTAACTGAGGGCTTTCTGGATGTTGCTAAGCAACATCCATTGGTTTGTTTACTCAAAAAAAAAGGTAAATAGTAAATGTATGAATTCAGAATTCTTGCAAAAGGGCAGACAGGGTTAAACAATCATACAGTTTTATTTGAAACATGTGCACTTACACTACCTTCCACGTGCATTTTGAATCTTTAACATGTGCAGATTAAACACAATCAGCCGCCCAATATATCAGAACCACGAGCAATGCTCCTGCTCTGCACTTGTTGTATGCCTTTTTATAACCGTAGACTCTCATCTACCCTTGCGAACACGTATCTCTGTCTGCTGTTAATGTTTGTCACCTCTGTGGTGGAACAAGCAGGGCAAACTAAACTGGCTGTTATTGGCTACTAGATGCTGCAAGTGTCTTTAGGCTAAAAGCTTATTATTCAGCAAGATGCAAGTGACTGATATGAACTTCCTGCATGTTTCTCTGATAAAGTTGCACCCATGACTGAGCCAGTTCTGGAGCACCTAAGAGTAGACTAGATTAATTAATGTCTAGATGAAAACAAAAAACAAACCTGGATGACAGAATCAAGTCAAAGCCAGTTATCCAGAGGTATGGAGTTAGTTTTGTTTCCTTTTTATTGAAAAAAAGCAAAAAAAAAAAAAAAAAAAACACTTCCATAAAAAATTGAGCAGAAAAAATCTAAGAGATGAAACATTTTTTATAATAATAAAAAAAAAAAGTGTATAATACAATGCAGAGCTGAGTAAGAGTGAATAATCTAATTTTTTGTTTTAGTTGTAGAGGTATTGCTCAATTATTGGTCAATTTGCAAAACAGAATAATTAGTGTTGCGCCGAGGCCATTTTTTGGCTCGATATCGAAAACTGGCTCTGCAGTATTGGCCGATATACAGATGCCATACCAATTCCATTTGTTTGAAATTGATGTGTGTGTATATATATGAAGAGCCATAATGGCTTTGTCAAGCTGCTGCTTACACTTAAGAAGCAGGAAAAAAGACTAATACAAAGTGAATTCAGTAGAACTTTTTATCGTCTACCTGGAATGGGTGACAATAGTTTAACTTTTGGCTCTCAAAGGCCAAAATAGTGCAACATTCATGAAATTATAACTTATAATAGTGCAATATTAAGACAGTAAAATTACATTAATATTTTATAATCCCTTTCAAACCTGAGTTTTGGCTCTCAAATGTCAAAACAGTGCAACTTTCATGAACCTATATAACATGTATAATACTAGTGCAACAGCAAGAAAGTGAAATTATTCTCATTAGTTTGGCACAGGCCAATAGCTATAGTTAACACTAGTGAGTGTCGGGAGAGAGAAGGCTGCGTTCAAGTGCCATACAAACATCAAAATGGTATAGGTGCCCTATTTGTTGGTATTCGCCAATGCCACCCTTTTAGTAGTGGATCAGGGCCCCACCCAGTATCGGTGCAACACTGATTATAATATCAGGAATGAGTTAATCTATAATTCGTTAATTACAACATTAGGATTTGACAGTGTAACCACATACAGAAAAGGTAAGCATAAAAAAACGTTCAAATTTACAAAATATTAGCGGATGACATTGCCATTTCTTCCTCTTTCTCTGTCTGTGATACTGGCATAGAGCGACAACTTGCTGGAGACAAGCACCTGAACATCTGTCGACCCCGCTGAAGAAGCTGCATAACTTCATTTACATACAGGTAAACCAGCGGGTTGAGAGCGCTGTTCAGGCTCACAAGACCACGAGTCACCTGACGGGCTCTGAAGATCCCCTCCTCCCAGCTACTGCATTTCTTCTGCCAATTTAGAAGTCTTAAGTAGAGGTTAAGGTTCTTGAATATATGGTAGGGAACATAACAGATCAGGAACAGAAGAATCAAAACTGCCAACAGCTTCAAGCTTCGTCGTTTCACATTCTTGTCAATTGTTTTTGAGCTGCAGACGACATAGGTGACATGTCCATAGCTCCAAACAGTGATGAGGAAAGGGATGCAGAATCCAAAGAACGTAAATATGATGGTGTAATCCAGGTAACCCTTCATATAATCATTAGTGGTGGTGTCAAAACATTGATCGTCAAAATATTTTTTGGGGAAGAACATGTCCGGGAGGCTTTGAACACTCACCAGAATCCAAACAATGGCTGAGATACCCATGGAACGATTCGCCGTTAATCTCCCCTTTGATTTCATGGGATGGACGATTGCCAGGTACCTGTACACACTAATACAAGTGAGGAATCCAATGCTGCAATATAAATTCAGGTTGAAACAGAATCTTGTCAGTTTGCACAGAGTTTCTCCAAAGATCCATGTCTTCTTTTTAAGGTAATAGACGATCAGAAGAGGAAGATTGAGCAGGTACAAAATGTCTGCAAGTCCGAGGTTTAAAAGAAAGATGTTAATATCCCCAAGTTTCTTCCAGTTATGCAGCAAAGACTTCAATCCCCATCCGTTAGCCACCAGTCCAACAATTAACACCAAAATGTAAAGAGTAGGCAGCAATATATTTTCAAAGTTCTTATTTAACGATTTACAGTAGTTTTTCGTTGTATTCATTTTGCCTTTAAGAAACAAGTGAGTTCGACCCTCGTTCTCAGAGTGCTGCTCACGTTTAAGTAAGACAGAAATAGCATCCAACTAACTTCCTTTCTCAAGCCCTGCCTCTTCAAAGGCAGGTTTGCAAAGAAACGAGACACCATTTGTGTTGGATTTTTACCATGAATACAGTGCATACAAACACATTTTATCACACCAAAAGTGAAACTTTTTCCACAGTAAAGTTTCATTAATTCTGCAGCAAAGCCTTTAACTGTAATCATCCTGGTACAGAACAGGCAAGATAAGACAAGACAGCATCCTGTGTTGAAACAAACTTAGTTAAAAGTCATTACGTTTCTTTTGGTTTCTTTTCTTTCTGGGTAATTCCATTCAATTCAAATTCAACAACACTATTAATCCCAAAGGGATTAGTGAGGCAGGAAACTACAAATATTAACTTCATTTAAAAATATAGTTAGATTTCTGTAATTAGACAACTTTGAGATTGGACCAGGCTCAACTGGGAACAATTTTCAGCCCTGGCATTTTTTCATCTACACCGGCCCAATGATGGACAACTCCCCCCCCCAAAAAAATAAAAAATAAAATAGAAGCACAGTCAAACGCATGCAACCCCAAATGTGAAACACAATACGAATACACATTGTGGATTAATCGATTTATATTCAAGCATCACACGACAACCATCACCAAAACTTCTATAATGCAGTTTTACCAGCTTTGGTTAATAACACAGATGCAACAGTGACTGCTGCTGAGT